AAAACCCCCACCCCTACCAGCACTGGCAAGGCAGGCCACAGCACATAAATAGAAAGCAAACCCCATCCTATTTTAGCACTGAAGATGTTACCTAACCGGGTAATGAAAGGTTTGCAAGACAAGAACCAAGCTCAGAGAACCCCAAGGACTCCACATTAATGAGAGTATGGACTAGTATTCTATATCTAAAATGAGGTAACATAGCTTAATTGCAAACATAGTCCAGTAAACTATAATACCTTCTAAAGAACAGTATTTTTCTTCCTGCTTATCCTGAATGTCATATCTGGAAAGGTAGTCCAAGTTCACCATACAACCAGTTGAAATGGAAGCCACACCCTTCCTTCCCAAATAATAAAAATTTAAACATTGCCAAAATGTTAGTAATTTGGAGGAGCACTGGACCATCACATGTGATTGTGCAAGACACCTGAGGCCTGAAGGCATTGGCAACTTCTAAACTAGATAATTGCGTTTTTTCTCCCCTTTCCTCTAAGTACCATCTGCCTCTATATCCCCTGCACTGAATCCAATACAGTATTCTCACAGGTAGGCCTTCTTGTGATGCAGGAAGAAGAGGAAGAGGAAGATTGTTGCCATCCAGTAATCCCACCAAGGTGTTAGCTCAAGGACTCTTGAATAGGCTGGAAGCAGTGTGCCAGAAGAAATATGGAATCCCTGAAAGGAAGAGATGGGAAATATCTATTTCCTCGCCAATGTTCACATTTAGTGTAAATATAAGAAAGGAATGGGGGTTTTTTTCCTGCCAAACTGAATGTATTGTTCCTAATGTACCAGGAAACCATATGCAAAATCAAAAAGGGCCAAAACAAACAGTAAATTGGAGTCAGCCCCACCAGACATTCTCTCAAACACACACAGATATACACACCCAGCTCCCCATGTTGCAGTTAGGCTTTTAACCCCTTTTACGACAAAGATACACTGCTTGGGCTCCACCTGGCCAAGAAGCCTTATTCTTTAACTCCTAAGATCTCCTGATTTCTGTTGGATATGAAATATTACAACGGAACTTGCCAGGGGTCTCCCTCAAGTCAAGCTTAGCTCTTGGTGATGGCATGGACATGTTCCATGCTGTTTTTTTGGCAATGTTATGAAAATTACTTATCATTGCTTTTTTCAACTTTCCAATCTAGTCTGCAGGGATCTCCCATCCAAGTATTACCGTAATAAGTAGGGCTGTGCCTACTGGCTTTTGTTCTGAACAAGGTGTTTCAGAATGTGGAGGTGTGGACAGAGCACTTGCCCGCAACTCTCTAAAATTACCTTTAATTGGAATAGCATTTATATTAAAATTCTTGGGCTAAGAGATAATTGAATGGAACTGGTACAATGGCTCTGCCTTATTTCGTCTACCCACTATGTTCTGGAATAGAATGTTGGAGTCCATTCAGACTCCTCCGTTGAGATCATGAGTCTTCATGAACTGGAATAGAAAATCCAGCAGATCCACAGAAACAAATGCCACTTTCATCTTGAGACCCTCTGCCTTGAGAAGGCACATTGTTCAGATGGGGGGACACAGATATCGACTCCATTCAGTAACTCCAAGAGATGACTGTTAAGAGCCAACAAATCATCCTTAGCCCAACTAATTTTTCTGAAAAATCATCTTATTTTTTACATAAATGGGTAACGGGTCATTTTGAGTAGCAACAATACGACCTACAGCACTATCTTGCAATATATTCCCATCCCATTGCTTCCAAAATAATATTCCTGTAGTGAAAAGACTACAGTAACTTCTTGCCCAAATCCCCTCTCACTCCCATGATGTCTCCTGTACCTAGCAACAGTGGAAATGCTGTGATTATTACTTGATATGCAGCTAAACTGGGTGCTTAGACAGAACAGTCTTAGTGGGGCTTTTGAGAGGAACCAATAAATGGTTGCAACAGAAGTTTCTCAGTATTCTAAACAGGGCCCCTAACTGGATTCAAAGAGGCTGGGCCTTTGCATTCCCCAGTGCCTTTACATGTGGCTTCCATTTCTTTCCCCTTTTGTCTACAGGGGGTGGATATTCCAAGCAGAGGACTTCTGGCTAGAGGCAAGGAAACTCATGCTCCTTGGAGGAGAAAGACAAAAGTTCTGACAGCAGCTCTACTTGTTGCATTAAGCCATGTGGATGAAATACTGAAAAGTGCTGAGTGGTTTGCTCAATGTACTATTCCTGTGAGGAGGAGAAACAGCAAGAAAGTTCTGTAATTAACTATCTTGAACTAATTCAGAGAGCACATTTTCTCCTGATGGTGCAGGCTGGGATTCTTTTTCAAATCCGTTTCTGCAAGTTAGAGCCTTCTGCAGCAACTCCTCAGTCCCTTCCTCCTAATAGGCACAGTCTTCATATGAGTGAAAATTAATGTGCTTTGGATGAGGGATCATACTCATAATTCCCCAGCTTTCTGACCTCAGAATTCTTCTATAACTGTTTGCACCTGTGATTCTCTGTTCTGTTCCATCAGTCCAGTAATAGTGGAAACCAGTAGTGCCACTCTGGCTGATCCCTGCCACGTTATGTGAGCTCATGAAGCTCTGCATAAGGAGGCTGTTGCTGTCATGGGCCAAGTTATTAGCATACAGCTCATCCCATGGGGTCAACTTTATCTATGTGCTATCTGGCACTGAGTCTCCAGGACATCAAAATGGCAGAGCTTAAATTACACATTTTGGGAGACAAGTCAATCGGCACACCAGAAATGAAGTTGATGCTTGGCGCAATCTAGACTACATCAAAACATCCTCAGCTTGGTTAGCACAAGTTAGCATTACCCTTAAAAAGAGAAGTATTTAGCAGATTAAGATTCGAGCATGGGCATCTCATCCCTTTCCATTAAAACTCTCCTTGACTACCCCACAGCTGCAAAACTGAAACCAACCCTAATTTAAGACATGGAATGTTTAGGGAAATTTGCTTCCCATCCTCTGCCAAAGGCTAACATGTAAACTGGTCCAATCTGTATGCCATCATTTCATTCTTTTGCTATGTCATCCTTGCACTAAAACCATTGTTCATTAAGGCCCCATGTGTAAACAATAGGAGAGTAGCAGACTACAAGTGGCCAGTCCTGTCTCAGCTGGATGAGAAAAACAGCTACTTTGCAGAGCAGGTGTGAAGCCCAGCAGCTCCAATGTTCTCCAAAGCACTTTGCACCAAGAGCCAAAGCCAGTTCTTGATTGAGAATCATTCTTGCTTCCTACACAGAAAGGGACACCACTGTACATTCTTCTTTTTTATACCTTGATGGATTTTTAAGGCAGGATGGGAGATGTACCAGAAAGTTGCTTCTCCGGGGTACTTCACACTGTTTAATTATATCTGCCAGATGAGGTCTTCTGTGGTTCTGGAGAATCCAATTTCCACAGCACAAATAACTACCCTATAATTGTGGTACATGAAAGCTGGAAACCACATTATTCTGTTGCTTCAGGGAGGGAATAAGAAGCTAACAGCCAGATGTTAGATTTGCTTGCTTTATTTAAAGAAATCCTAGATTAATCAGAAGGCAGAAATTAAGTCATGCTTTGAAGAAAAGGAGAAATAAGGAATGCATTAAACAATCAGGGCAAAGTAGACAGGTTTGCCATAGTTCTTGGAGGAGCCACAGATCCTAGCTTGAATGCCTTAACTCAGTTTGCACATCAAGAGTTCAATAAAGGAACTCTAAATTCCCTCCCAGTGTTCATGAAAACAAGAAGCAGAATTGGAACCATGATGCCTTTTTAACAGAAGTTCCCATTTGTGCTACCCCTTAGCCTCTCACGTTCACAAGGGACTCTTCTACTTCATAGTAGGCCGTGGCCCTGTACCCCACAGTCTATCTGTGTGTGTTGCACTTATACCAGAGCAGGGAGTGAACATCGACATTTCCTATAAGAAAGATTAAGGAAAGCAATATAAGGAAAGCAGAGCAGAATTATTTCACAGCCCTGGCACTGATCATTCCCTTTCCCACCTTTTCCCAGGATTAAATGCCTGCTGAACATGCATCCGGCTTCAGGCGGAGTCCCTGGGCAGCCAGGAGAAGCAGAATGCCAGCCAACCCCTCTGTGCCAAGAGAGAGCCAGGCAAGTGCCAGGGACCAGCCAAAGGTAATGTGGACATGGTCAAAACGCTGTTGGTCATACATGCGCACAGTCTCAGTGAATGCTGCTTTAGAGTAGCAGATATAGGTGCTTGTCCCTGACAGTGTCAGCAGTGCTGAATGGGAAGAAAAGTGGAGAAAAGATAATCAGAGCAGCAATTTGAGTAACACATATATTTTGAAATAGTCATTCTGTTAGTATCAATGATAGCTAAATGGAGCAATCCACATCAAGCAAAGAGACAGAGCTACCATCCCCTTGTTTACTTGAAAGTTTCTAGAAGCATTTGGAAACAGGACCCTGAGCTAGACAGATCTTTGATCTGTTCTGGTAAAGCAAATGTTTAGATGCCACACCTTCCTAAAATAGTTTCCACAGAGATCTTGCCTATTTAGCAACTTGCTCTAAGTATCCAAGAGCAACCTATCAACCATCCATTCACTCCTCATGTAGCAAAGGAACAAGTCTCACAAGAGAGTGGTCTCTGCCAGAGAAATGCTTGGGGATTCTGTCCAGACAAGACCTGGATAAATCTAGCTACTGACTGTGCTTCAGTTGTGTGTCCTATTGGCTTCAGAATAAATTAATTATTTCTAGTTTCTATCATAGTGAATGTGATTGTCACAGCATCCCATCACTTCATTTGCAAGCAACTTGAGCTGGTTACTATGAGAGTGGTTACTATGCCCCACAGATACAAGTCTGCTGTGAGTCTCAATTAATTGTTAAAAATACAATTGGCCTCACATAATCAAAGAGCTGCTATTTGGATCTCAGGTGATATAGTTGAATATCTGATAATAAAGTATGTACTGCAATTCGAAATGGCAGATGCAACAAGAAGTAGCAGGCATGCTCATAATGCAAAAATGCTGTGAGATCTGGAATAACTTGACTGCACAAATAACAATATTTGTGTCTTTAAAATACTGCAAGCTGTTGCTTTTATAAAGGTTTATGATTTCTTGGAGTATACCCAAAATCTGACTGCAGACTTGCTTCCTTGTGAATGAAATTGACATTCTAATTTTTGGTGAGGACAAGAGCTAAAGTGAGTGTAACAATGATGCAAACTGAGCTTGGACATGGACAATCAGGGTTTTCCATTTCTTTTCCCATTTTTTGCAGAGGTTAGGGTTTCTTAGCTTTTAAAGTACATAAGGTCTATTTTAGGAGTTACACTAGAGTTTTCATGTGTATCTCACCTCAGGTTGGTAGGAGAAACTGCTCAATGTTTGCACTGCTGGGTTTTAGAAGGGGCTCCATATGGTACAAATAGAGGCTTGGCTGGGACTGTAGGACACCCACCACTGATCAAAGGCAATTATATCAAGGGAGTGGTCTGGGTGAGAAGGACTCAGACTCCTGTTCCCATCCTTAACTGGCCAATTACCATAGAGAATAACAATGTTCTGTTAAGATGTAAATCATGACTTTAGGATCACAGGAAGTTGCCTGTCAGTTCAAATTATTTCTACTTTATGTAATGTAAAGTAGAATTTATAAACGTGAAATGCATATCATAAATCTGCTAAAATGCTAAACCATTCTCTGACTGATAGCAAATAAGTAACCTTTATCTCATTTGCTACCTATTTATTTTACATGGAAATGTTAAGAATTGAATCTGCATGTAAACTAATATTAAAGATAGAAAACTAATATAAAATATTAACCAGAATCAAACTTACAAAGTGTCTTGAACTGAGGAAATGAAAAATAGGAAGCAGATATTAACTTTTACATCATATTTTGATTCTGGTTAAAAGTGCGTTAGCCAACATTAACACAGGAGGCTTTTCATAGCAAAGGGGAAGATAGTCCTTGAGTCTACAAAGGTTCCTGGTTAGGCTGTCCTACTGCTAATCTGAGCATTGGAGACCTCCTCTTACTATCTATGAGAAAAAGGAATAGGACAGCAGTTCACAGGGAAGAAATGCTATTTCTGTAACTACAGTGACCCACTCAGGAAGCTTCCTCTGACATCTTCAGACTTGCTTTGCCTGGATCATCCTCAAGAAAGAAAACCCTGCTTTCTTTAAAATCTTTCTAGACATAGTATCACTCACCACCCAACAGAAAATAGCAGCCTGTGAAGAGCAGAAGCCAGGAAATCTGGGCCAAGGAGCCAATGATCCCACAGATCCAGCCAAAAATAATCAAGATGAGGCTGAGTGGCAGCAAGATCATGAAGGCCCGATGCATGTCTGGCAAGGGAAAAACAGTGGCATATCAAAAGAGAAAAGCAAAATCCTGGAAATTGGATAAGGTGATATCCATTTTTTTATTGGCTGAATTAGACTAATCTTCCTGCCAGAAACATCACTCATTCTTTAACAGCTCTGTCATTTTTTTTCCCTTAAAGAACAAATAAATCCATTATGACCATCCCCAAAACAGAAACAATGCCCACTTTTGTAAAATAATCAGTTTTACAAAAGCCACCATCCCATCTTCTGAACTTGGTCTTTTTACAGAGGACAATGTGAATTTCAAAATAGGAACACCTGTATAAAATTTCCCACCACTTTCAAGGGTGCCCAAACCACATAAAGTTCTCTACTCACAGATAAGATGTTGGAGTGATGCTGGGACCAGCCAACTCTCTGCGCCAAAGGGGTCAATCAGGGGCATGCAGGCATTTTGTCCTGGGGAAGCAATAAAGGAAGAAAAGCAACAGACAGCTAGCAATGATGTTCACAGTGCTGGAATGCTGAGTGGTGCAAATGCAGCAACAGGCATGCTGTAGTTCAGCAGAAACTTCAAAGAGACCGCAAGCTATAACAAACTGAACACCAGCAGATACAGATACATTTGTGCTGAGGGATAGCACTTAGAGGTGCTTTTTTGTAAAGATCACTAATTTGGCTCATTCTTAACAATTAAAGCTGTCTTAAAAGTTAGGGAGGGCAAATGGAGCCCCCTTTATGTAGCCTACTGTGCGCTCACTTCTTCCTGTGATAATACCACAAGGGCACTCTTTCCTCATTTCATACCATTGCATGATTCTGATGTGACATGGAGGAAGAACAAATGGGAAGAACAGGGATGTATGTCTCTTGGGTGGGGAAGAGAATCTGCCTGGCCTGTTGTAAATCTCTAGTGACAGTCAAGGGGGGGGGGTGTTACTGGCCCCACCCTTTTTTCCTAGCTATGCAAGTAGATAACTGTGTATACCTGACCCACCTCTGCTGCCATAAAAGTTGTTTTCCCCAGATTATGTCATACTGAGAAATGAGGCAATCACAACAATACCCATCCCTGCACTTGGAAGAAGGGGTCTCAGCACTACAGTCCATTGTAACAAAAGAGAGCAAAGCTCAGACGACGGAGCAAGGCTTTATTTCACAGCCCAGTGCAAATGCACGCAGACCCTTGGGATTCAGCCCGTGCGTGCCATTTCAGTGGGAGTCCAGTTGACGATGAGGGATACTAAAAGCCACGCTAGGCATCCGAGTGAAATAGCAAGCAACCGTCCCAATGCCTAAGGTTTGCTCTACCGTCATGAAAAATGTGGTGCATTCTTGTGAGCTGATCGCTAAAGAGGCAGACAGCGGCCGCCGCCGGCGGCACGTTTTCTTCAGGGCTCGGTTCCAGCACTCTCCCTGGGCTCCGCTCCTTTGCCCAGCAGATCGACCTTCTCCTCCACTCAGGGCTCCTGTTCTCCTAAGCCAGTATTTCTAGACCGTGCAGACCCCAGCTCCGACATGGATCGGAAAGGCGCCGGGATACAAGGATCTCGGGAATTAGGTGGTCTCCTTCGCGTTTTTCGACGAACCTGCTCATACCAACTAGTGGCAGGTGAGAGCTAATTTCGGGGTGGGGACAAAAGCAGGGGAAAACAGCTGAGAAGCACAAATGTCCTGAGGGAGGACGGCCGGAATGGAGGTTGAACTGAGTTCATCGTCCTGAACCCCTACTCGCTCGCCTCAAGCGCTCAGCCTTCGGTAGGGACGGCGCCTGCAGCTGCTAGGCGGATGCAGTTTTCCCTGCCGCCTAGGCTGAAAGCCGCCGCCGCCGCCGCCGCCGCCGCCGCCGCCTGGAGGGCAGCGCCACAGAACGCTGGGATCAAGTGGCCACGGAGCCCAGCGCCAAGGAGATGGCATGGGACGGCGGCACCGGCAGGCGAAGAGCAAGCACGGCTGTCCAGCCCTCCTTACCTTCGCAGAGTCGCCAGAGCCCGGAGTGAGAGCTCAGTTCCTCGCCATCCCAAGCGCTGCCGTTGCGCCCAGCCCCGTCCACGTGGATCAAGTACCAGTAGTCGGTGCCGAGGGCCGCAGCCAAGAGGCCGAAGCTGAGCAGCCCGTTGAGCGCAGCGGCCAGGCACAGCGCGCCCGGGGACAGAGCCGCCCCACACTTCGGTACCATGATCTCGCCTCCCGCACGGCGAGAGCAGAAAAGGCTGCAGAGAGAGAGACGGAGCCGCCCCCCTTCGGGGCGCAGCTCTACCTTGCGGGGAACTTCGGGGAGCCCAGGCGAGAGGGAGGGCTCCGGAGCCGCCCGGTCCACTGACAGATGCGGGGGGCGGGGAGAAATGCTGCGGTCCTTTGCACCGCAAACTGGAGAAGAGCGCAAAGAGCGGGGGGAATCGGCAAAAGGGAAGACCCCAGCCGCGCTCCGGAGCGCGCGCGCGCGCCACAGTAGAGCCAAGCCAGATCTTGGAAACCCGACTCGATGTTGGTTGGTGGCCGGAACTCCCCCATTCGTCACCTGCTTCCATCCTACCCAGAAATACTGACGAGATTCATATCCAAAAACCTAGGGTGGGATGTCTAGGTCAGTTTTTGGGTCTGTGCCCTATAACCTTCAAGATGAGAAGAGTGGGGTTGAGGGGAGAGGTTCTTCTCTCTCTCTCTCCCCTAATCCAGAGACCCATAACAGACTACTCCACTATGATCACTGGAGTAACTCTGCAAAATTCGGGAGAAGCATTTTCTCTGTACCTGAATCCTTTCTGACTTGGGCAATATTGCTACAGGGGACCAAACAAATGGAAATATTAGTTATAGAAACATGGAAAAAGCAGAAAAAGACCTTACTGTCTCAAGTGAGAGATAACAAGGGCCAAAACATCCAAAATACTTATAAAATACTGGGTTCACAGTTCACACCGAGCCATGGTTTTATACTGTATTGATTATGTGTTATTTACTGAATTATCCATTTAGCTGACTTAGTAAACATGACAAGTCAAAAAGAGTTGTCAAACTCAACATATTTAAGCTGAATTTCTCAACTTTCTCCCAAGATGTCATCCCTTTGCTCATTCTCCATATTCATTCAAAACATCCGCAGCAATCATACTAATCAGATCAAAGTTTAAGTTTCTCCTCAAAACTCGTTATTTCTGAGAAGCCATTAGATAATCTCCCTATCCCATGTTCCAACTACTCTAATGTAACAATAATTGAAGTAAGCACATTTCTTGTTTCTCTGTTACTTCTGTGTGTCTTAGACTGCCTCTTGAGGCTAAAGCCCTTGTATCTGTTCCTTGTAAAGTGCCATTGACAAAGGCAATACTGTGTAAAATAATGCAACAACTGCCCCCATGGCCTTCTTATAGTTAATTTGTTAAGAAACAAAATGCTTTGCCTGAAATAGAAAACCCAGTATCCTCTTTCATCAATCACTAAACCTTCAGTAACAAGGTAGAAAATAATTGATGGTTCACTGCCCTTCAGTGGCATCCCAAAACTTGCTGCCAGAGGTGGGATGCTCCACCCTGTCTAACTGCAGGGCTCTCCCTGATCCGAGAGACACTTGCAGCCACCCTGTCTCATTAGAAACATCCTACTGTGGTATGAATTAGTGAAAGTGTATATCAAGAAACTGCAGTGCCGTTATTTCTATCACATTGCAGTTGCACTAGGGATCTATTATGGTTTCACCACTGAGCAAAGAGCAGTTAAAATTCTAGACAACTCAACAATACTGCCCATTACCCACTCATTGTCAGAGCTCATTAGGAACAGCTCTAAACTTACACCATAAAGCACACTTTTTAAGCAGAAATTGCTTATTTATCCTGTCAGCTTTGTGAGACAGAGTGAAGGAACTTTACAGTCTCACAATATGAATAATTTCTGGCCATGCTGGAGATGTTGTGTATGAAAGCTGATCTCCAGCCAGACTACCTACTGTAGTAAAAAACCAGCTCCTACCAAACAAAGCCAAAGCAATACATAACTTGCCTGTTATGTCTCTTCTTCCTCCATCCGTACCTTGAAAAGTGAATTTTTAAAGGAACAACAGAAGACAGAGGCTTATTACAAAACCTGACCTGACAACACTTTACACCAACTATTCTTGCAATAAGGTTTTTGTATTACTCAAACGAGGAATAATTTGTCCGTGTATGTGTTGTGTGACTGTTGTAGATATTCATAATACTACAAGTAGTTGCTGCCAACTACAATTGGACTGGCTTTTCTCTGTAATATTGTTAACTATTGAAGAGCAGGATCCATTTTAAGCTACAATGATGGAGCAGAAGGTGTTTTGAGGGGCACAATTAAATGGTCAATTACATCATTCCATTCCCAGTAAGGACCCAATATTTTAAGATCTACAAATGGAGTAAAATTTATACTCTAGCTATTGGTAACCACCTAAATCACATATCTATTTTAACTACCAACATTTATAGAAACTGACAAACAATTTCAATTTTTCTAAATCTTTTAAAAAGCTATCTAGGGTAACATTGTTTTCTGAGGAGGAATGAATTGTGTAATTGTATATCAACATCATCACATTGTTCATCCTATATATCCAGTCAATCCTTTTGCAAACTCATTTATGTTACTCTACAACATATTCTTCAACAATGAATTTTGAAAGTTAATTTTGTACTACTTAAATGTTTACACTATTGAAAGTTCTGGCACTCACTTTTAATTTGATGACTGCAAATCAACTAAAGAATAATTTTATCTATTCACTTTCTCTTCTAAGGAAAGCAAATTCTACTATTAGCATCTAATAGGAAGTCTGGAATCTTTTTTTTTTTTAGTTTACAGGTAGTCCTTGCTTAACGACTTCAATAGGGACTGGAAAATTCATTGTTAAGCAGGGTGGCGGTTAAGTGAGTCATGCCTGATTTTACCTTTTTTGCAATGGTCATTAAGTGAATCACTGGCTGTTAAGCAAATCACAGTTAAGCAAATCAAGTGGTCCTCCATTGATTTTGCTTGCCATAAACCTGTCACAAATGACGATCATGTGACCCCAGGATGCTGCAACCACAAGCACCCAGATTGTGATCACCCTGTGGGGGTGCTGTGGCAGATATAAGTGCGAGGACTGGTTATAAGTCCCTTTGTTCAGCACCATTGTATCTTTGAATGGTTGCTAAATGAATGGTCATTAAGTGAGGACTATCTGTATACCAGATCTATTTGCCATGCTATGGGTCAGCAGACAATCCACTGAGATGTTTTGGAGTCAATGCAAAAATCCGCTTTGGAATAACTATTCAGAACAAAATATGGTTATTTTTCATTATATCCATCTAGATCACTTATAAGGAACAGAACCAAACCCTTTAGGCTTTTCAGCTAACAAATATCTACTAGATACTATTATAACTCACTATCTCACTACTGGCCGTCTACCATGTCTCTAAGAAGGCTTTTATAACTGATGAGTACTCCTTTGAGAATGACTGTTCCAAGAACAAAAGACATAGTCAAAATAAAACACCTTCATAAGAAGGCAGCTTAACACCTGCTCTTCTCAATTTATCCTAGTTTCAAGAATAGGTCAGAGCTTCATTCAACTCTTGAGAGTAATGTTTGCAGACAATGTTGAGAAAACAAAAGGGCCTTCAAACAGCCTTGCTCAGGAAGCTATTAAAACATAATATTTTTTAAAAAGGAATATTTATTCAAGAACACATAAGAAATTCCACAAGAAGTAAATATAAAGAAACTCATAGACTTGAACAGCAGACATTGAGCAATTCAACTTTGGACTCTGCTCAATGCTATTTAGACAGTAAAGAGTAAACCCACATCATCCAATGGCGCATACAGAGTTTATGAACGCAGCAGGTCTATTTGACTACGGATATGATCAGCATATTTTTCCATCTCGATAATTTTCTGGTTAACTTCTTTTTCCTAGAAGAAAATTAAAAAGACATATTCCTATTAATAAATAGGCAGCTCTTGAGTTATAGGGAAAAACTATACAGGGAGTATTATGCTGATAAAGTAAGAGAAACATACCTAGACAATTCACTTTGAGATAGAAATCAGCCAGTAACAGACTGGCCTATGGATTGTAGTTAAATTAGCTAAGAAGCCTAACTTTCAAATCCAAGGGACTTTTATGGACATAAGACTATGTAGCCATACAAAGTATCATATGACCTTTAAGACACAACAGGGAAAGCAGAGTGATCAGACGTTGTAGGAGGAAAGTGTATTAATTTATGGTAGCCAAAAATCAGGAGAGTCTTGAAGCATCTTTTCAGGCTAGCAAGTTTTATTACAGCTCACTTCATCAAATGCATGGAGTGCCTAACCTGACTCAGAACAAGGAGAAAGTAATATTAGAGCATTTCAACCTCACAGGACACTCCATTACAGATCTCAAAGTAGCCATTTTGGAAAAAAAATTAAAAAAACCTTTGCCAGCACAGTTGAGTCAGAGATTGCTGAACTTACCTATGTCAAAAGGTTTCAAGCTATCTCAGGAGGTCTCAACAAATACAATAGGCTTTTAATACAACACAATTGTTCGGCGATAAGGTACTTATATCACATGTAACCTGCATCTGCCTAGCCAATCTATCTTCTCCTTTCTCCCCTCACCCCCTCCCTGGTCCCAATTTAATTCTTGTATCAATTTCAGCACTTCATGCATATAATGAAATGAGCTGTAGCTCACTCTTTAATAAAATGTGTTAGTCTGAAAAGGTGCTACCAAAGTCCTGCAGAGTGACAAGCATACTCAGACTAAGTTAATGGTTCCTTGCAAGTTATACTCACAATCAAGTTGTTCATCCTCTCTTTACGAAGTCTCATAAACTCCTGTACTGTCAGGTCACAAACATCTTTCTGGAGAGCAAGAAACGCACAGTTGGGGGAGTGCTTACGGTGCTCTTCCCTAGAAATTTGAAGGACAACTCATAATCATGCAACTGATTTTAAAAGGCAATTAAAGTAATTAGTAAGCATACTAAATGTGAAGAGTGCCATCCTAGTTTAGATCCCATGCCTCCCTGCATACAAATTTTTCTCCATCAATTTCCTATTAAACAACCACTTTCCCCCAAACCTGCACATGTGTCAGGTGGGGAAGCTCTGCTGTCGTTCCACTGGAAACTCTGACTTGCAACACTGGAGCTAGAAATAGTGTCTTCCCAGAAGTGGCACTCAGATTATGGAATTCTCTCTCAGGGTATGTATGGCTGCCCTCCAGTCTGTCTTATCTTGTATTTCTGCATTTGTAGAATAACAATTGCTCTAGGACCAGACTACCTTTTGAAATGAACTGTTTTAATTGTTTTTCTCTCATTATTTTTTATATGTGGGGAACCTTACATACTTTACTGTCTTTATTATTTCTGTACTCTGCTCCAGTCTTATTTGAGAGGAAAAGAATAAAACAAAATAACAACCTTCCCATGCCACTGACATACTCCCATAGCCATAAAAGCTATCTTTGCAACTGCATAAAATCTGTAACACTTTTGGAAGAGGCTTGGGCAAGCTAACATGGAAGGGTATTCGATGTGTCAAAGGTGGGGGTCTGAGAACTGGAACATTTCTCAGGCTCCCTTCTATGAACTAGATGAAATCAGTCCCTGAGACCTCAAAGTCCCTCCCGCTGCTCCTGGGGGGCCATGACTTTGGTGCACCTTGAAGCAACAGCTGCCAAGGGCTGGGTTGCCTTTCTGTTTCTGTGGTTGAAGGACAGAAAATAGTGACATACGCTTTCCGTCGTCACCAATAATCACAGCTTAGCCAGAACTAGAGAAATACAGCATCTGTATTCTCCTTTTTAGTCAAATTGGTTTCCAAATAGCTTACATTTAAAAAAAAATATCAAAAAGTAGTAGATACTTTTATACCAGTCTTTTCTGGGTCTTGCCAATTTAGGCCTCTAGTAAAAAGAGCAGAAGATGTTGCAGATGGATTTAGAATTGGCTGACAGGACAGATATAAACCCATACAAACATCCCACCTGACATTTTAGAGCAGGGTTTCTCAACCAGGGTTCCGTGGAACCCTAGGGTTCCCCAAGAGGTCACTAGGGGTTCCCTGGCAGATCATGATTTATTTAAAAATTAGTTTAAATTCAGGCAACACGCTCTCAGAGTGATGAGCAGAAACCAAAGAAAAATCTAGTTACAACTCTTTCTGAGCTCTCCGGTAGTATGCTGTAGGACTATGTTTATTTTGTTGAATCCATTCTTAATTTTTGACGCGAGATAGGGGAGACTGTTGATAACAGATGAACGCTATATTGCAGGAAGGGAGGAATATGTTGCAGGAAGGGAGGAATATACTGAAGGAAGGAGGGGGAGAAGTGTATTTTTCAAGAAATTAATGGACTTGTCCAACTTAAGCTGTGATGTCAGCCTATGCCTCCTGCATCTTTTCCCTGTGGTTTTCCTGTAGTTATTTTATCCCATTATTTGAAATAAATTTCATACACATTTATTCAATCATGTCTGAGGGTCCAATGTGGCGATTTTTGAAGAGGAGGTGAGAGAGAGAAGAGGATTCTAGAATGGACAATACCAATAAGTTTAATTATGATAGTGAAGAGTTTAAATCTTCTCAGGCATTTCCCTGCACTGGTATATCAGTGGACTCAAAAAAAGTTCATCTTTACAATGGAAGTTATTTATCAATGGGTTTTACATGGACTGGTGATCCAAGTTGTCCTATTCCATTGTGCCTCATCTGTAGCAAACAACTTGCAAATGCAGCAATGGCTCCAGCAAATTAAAAAGACACAACTACAAATCACAGCTATACGACAAATAAAAATTCTAATTATTTTAAACAGCTATTGGAATCACAGAACAGAGTATAGCTTTTGTTAATAAATGACAGTCAATAAAGAAGCCCAAGAAGCAAGTTATTTAGTAGCAGAACTTATTACACAGCATAGTAAAAGTCATACTTTGGGTGAAAGTAATCATGCCAGCATATAAAATAGTGGGACAAATGCTACGACCAGATGCAGTACAAGAAATTGAAAAGGTTCCACTGTTAAACAGTACAATAAATAGGTGTACTGATGACATGTCACATGATGCTGAAGAAGTTGTGTGTGATAAACTGAAGAACAGCAGTTTTTCTATCCAAGTTGATGAGTCAACAGATTTCACCAATAAATGTCATGTTACAGCATTTGTAAGATTTGTAAATGATGGTGAAGTTCAAGAAAACTTTTTCAACTGCAAAGAACTACACGAAACATGCAAAGGCCAAGATGTGTTTAAAGTTTTGTCTTCATATCTGGAAACAAAAAGTCTGTCTTGGAGGAACTGTGTTGGCATCTGTA